CTTACAAATATTATAAAAATGAATTAATATATACATTTTTGTTAATATTATACAATTTTAGTAATATATAAACTATTAATTACATTTTTTAATTTTGTTGGAATATGCAAAAGCTGTATGATAATATATTTTTCATATAACACAAAAGAAAAAATTCATGATAAAATTTTATAATGCAAAAAATATATGTATATTATACAAGATAAAAATAAATATCTGATAATTATATTATTATATTATTTTATAATTATATTGTTTACGATACTTTTTATTCCTCCGCGAATATTAATATTCTTCTATTTACAATTATATTTCTTTTTTTACATTTAACTTTAATATGTTATTGTACAATAATAAAAAGGGCACCAGGAATGAATATTGAGTGCCTGTTTCAATAATGCTTGGTTCCAATTACCTGAAGACGAGTTCTGGGTACAATGCATCGCATACTCATTTTGCGCGCATACTGGCTGTGTCTGTTTGTATTTTAGAAACGTTACATAAAGTTTCTTAATTTGCAATACTAATGTACTTTGCGTTTTATTATCGATTTTTCGAGGTATCTCATATTAGGAGCACAATTTTTGACTTTGCGATCTGCTCACTTTTTATATTTCTTTAATTAAAAAAAGAATAGAATTTGAATTAAATTTTACATAATATTATCTTAAAACTTATTAAATTCCCTTCAAAATAACCTATTATTTTTTTAAATTCTGCCCATAGACTTCTAACATTTACCCAAAATGAATTCGGTATCTCATAATAGGGATCTTTTCTATACTTTGACAATGTAACTTTGCTAAAATAAATTGAATATTGCCGCGATTATTAGAAAACGTATAAATATACAGGGTGTCCCATAACTCACTTGACGCTCATGGGCAGGTAGAGTGGACTAAACTGAATCGAAAAGTCCTGTACTATTTTGTAATTTTCGTAATAGTTAACAAGATATTAATTACTAAAAATTGCCGAATATTGGTCTTTAATAATTTTTTACTCAAATACTATCAATCTTACAAAAAGTCTGCAAGAGACAAAAATCGTTCATTTTCTTCTCATAAAGTTCTGAGAATTTTTTCAGAATTTTTTAATACCGGATTTTCATGTTGATAGAAACAAGAAAATGCAGTACTGAAAAGTTGATAAAAAATTCTGAAAAAATTCTTAGAGTTCTATGAGAAGAAAGTAAATAATTTTTGTCTCTTGCAGTTTTT